GACATGCTATACAAATCTTTAGACAAAAATAAAAAAGTAAATCCAATGTTAAGATTTGTATAAATTTCAATTCAATTAATGCCTTAAAAAAACAGGATTAACATAGCACACAGAAGACTTCAAGTAAATCCTATAGCCTAGGATTGTCTGAATCATAATATTTTTGATAATATTAGGATTCCAGGCTTTTATGTAATGAATATTTATTTTTCAAAAACACTTGCATGTGACTACGTAACTTTCAATGGACATTCCTAAAAACAATTGACAGAAGGTTGTAAGTACACATTACATAGTCTGCAAGTACACATTCATAGTTGCACAAGAAAATGCAGGCAGGGCCAATCACTGCAAAAATTTACCTCACAACCACAAAAGTCCTGAAGGAAAAAGGCAAAACACTGGATGACATTAATGTGCTTCTGGCAATCTTTATTGGAATAGCAGATGAAGACTTTGGGCCGAGGCTGTTGCCTTTCCACATGGAGAGATGCAGAGTAGGTAGAAGATTCAGAACTTTCCTCATCTAAATGGGAATAGATATTTTCTAAATTGAAACAAAAAAATTGACAGTGAAGCATTTTACTATCTACACACAGAGAAGAACTGCATTACTTTCCCCGCTCAGCTTGCAAGATTCAAAGTGAATCTATTTTCTCCTCATTCCAAAACAGCCTAGTTTCCTCATTCTGTGTATCTTGGCCTGAAGACTGAGGCAATTTTTGATCTGGGTCAGGCTTCCCACTAGATCTTGGACTAACCCTGCCAAATATGGACTATGATGTCCTCTATAGTTGCATCCACTCAAGAATACAACAGCCCTACTCAGCGCAAGCGCAGAAGCTCCTTCAAAACATTAAAATAGGGCCATTAGGGTGCAAGGCCCTAGAACTCACTTATCTATAAGCGCAATTCTGCAATGCCAAAGTACTTCTAGCTTCTTTCAGGACACATCAGGACCTGAGCCTGCAAATACCTCAATCATTCAGACCTGAAGAGAGCAGATCACCCAGGCATTTCACTACAAACAACCGATGCTCTAGGACAGTGTTGTCCAAACTTGGCCACTTTAAGATGAGTGGACTTCAACTCCCCCAAAACACACCCCCCACCAGCCGGGCGTCGGGGGGAGTGGCGAGGGCGATGAACTCCCCCACTCATTGAAAAGTAACGGGGA